ATATGCATGTGAAAGCTGGACAGGAAGACCATAGAAGAATTGATGCATTTGAATTATGGTGTTGGAAGAGAATATTGAAAGTACCATAGTCTGCCAAAAGACCAAAAAGATCTATGTTGGAAGAAGTACAACCAGAGTGCTCCTTGGAGGCCTGGATGGCCAAACGTCGTCTCTCATACTTTGGACATATTGTCAGGAGTGACCAGTCTTTGGAGAAGGATATCATGTTGGTAAAATGGAGGGTCAGAGAAAAAGAGGAAGACCCTTAGTGAGATAGATTGGCAAAGTGGCAGCATCAATGGGCTCAAGTGTGGCAATAAATGTGAGGTTGGCCCAGGACCGGGTAGTGTTTTGTTCTGTTGTGCATAGGGTCGCTATGAGTTGATACTGACTCGATGACACCTAACCACAACAACTTCATTGTTGGACTATTATTCAGCCAGACATTTTCTGCACATTTGAGGTAGGTGGAAGTTGGTTTCTAGTCAGTGCACATGCGCAGCTACACCAGTGGAGGCTGATGTGTTGCTATGGTGCTGAGCAGGTTTCAGTGGAGCATCCTGACTAAGCTAGACTAGGAAGAAAGGCCTTTTCATTGAATCTGAAAATCAGCCAATGAAAATTCTATGGAAAATAATGGTTCAATTCACCACAGATCATGAGGATGGGGCAGGACCAGCCAGTGCTCCATTCTGTTGTGTATGGAATCAGTCAGTATGAGTTCGGTTGTCAAGATTTGGGGCCATCTCATTGGGAGCTAACAACAACATGAAGGTAATACTCTGTGTACTCACACATTTTGAGGCGTTTTAATTTTAGGGAGTTTAAAAATAAGGCCATTTCAGAGAGTTAAGGACCTATAAAGGCATCCTGGTATGGTGCTGTGGATTTATGCACTGGACTGCAAAGTCAGTTTGAACCACAAGCTTACCACCTGTTCCCCCAAAACCCTATACAGGGTCCCTATGGGTTGGAACCAACTTGATGGCACTTAACAACAAGAAGTGGCACTTAACAACAACAAATGGTTCCAAAGGTGAAGTCCTAGTTTGATGCTGTAGGATAAGCACTGGGCTATTAATAGCAAGGTTGGTAGTTCAAACTCACCAGCTGCTCCTCAGAAATCCCTATAAAGGGTAGCTATGAGTTGGAACTGACTCGACGGCACTTAATAAAAACGACAACAGTTCCAAAGCCAGTTACTAGGCATAAGCAGGCCCAAGATGTGGACTTCTCTTTGGCTTCCATCCCAGCTGATAGAATTAGCAATGAACTTGAATCAAACCCAGGCAGTAGGCTTGAAAAAGATTTAATGGGCCTGGGCTTTTCTCTATTCCCCCTTTCTGACCTCCTCCCTGACAGGATAATGAAAAGGAAAATCTATTTCAGTGTTAATGCCTTCCACCAATTCTGGGCCTACAGCTAACTTTACTTTTTGTTTTGTTTTTTTTTTTAGGCCATAAAGATACTTTGGTGAACAGTTTCTGAAAATTTTCCTGCATCATAATAAAGGGATCTTTAAATGTTCATGTAAAGCTAATGTTTATATTTTAAAAAGAGTTATACTCTATTGTCTAACACTGAGGAAACCCCAAGTCTTTTCTAAAGATAATTTATAATGATGTTGACCCCAAAGTGAGCCCATAGTCCTTCTTCATTAGACATCTGTTGAGTACCTACTCTGTACAGGCACTTTGCTTGTCACTTTCCCCCTGCCGCCCATAGTTAAGTCTTCTTAAAATGTAATAATCAAATTGTTGTTGTTGTTAAGTGCCCTCAAGTCACTTCCACTCATAGGAACCCTATATAGGGTTTCCAAGGAGCAGTTGACAGGTTTGAACCCCCGGACTTGTGGCTAGCATTCCATTGTTTATCCTACAATGCCACATCTGTACTCCTGCTTTGGAATGTTGTTGTTGTTAAGTGCCATCGAGTCAGTTCTTATTCCTAGCAACCCTGTATAGGGTTTCCGAGGAGCAGCCAGTGAGCTTGAACCTCCAACCTTGCAGTTCAAACTGATCTTGCAGTCCAGTGCATTACAGATCCTTATTCAAATTATTGTCAAATTAGAGACATTAAAGTGATTGGGTGGACCTTGAAGAAGTTGTGGGGATGGGTAGTCAAAGGGGTCTCTCAAGCACTGCAAGAAAAAGTTTTAAAGTGTATTTAATATGGGAAAGTGCACACAGCGAGAAGAACTATAGAAAACCCAATTAATATGTTTGTAGTCCTAATAACAAGGCTGCTGGTGGTGGTGGTGTGCCGTGGAGTTGGTTCTGACTCATAGCGCCCCTGCATAGGGTTTCCAAAGCTGCAGTCTTCACAAGAGCAGAAAGCCTCATCTTTCTTCTTCTGGTAGTTTTGAAGTGCTGACCTTGAGGTTAGCAGCCCAACTTGTAACCCCTACGCTATCAGAGCTCCTTAATAACAAGGCTAGTGACTTAAAACATGTAAGTTGTTGATTATGTTGTTGTTGTGGGCTGTCCATTGGGTTCCAACTCCTACAGACCTGACAGGACAAAGTAGAACTGCCCCATAGGGCTTCCAAGGCTGCAGTCTTAGGGGTTAGGCATTGGGCTGCTCAGCCTCAAGGTTAAAACCCACTTGCTGCTATATAGGGTCACAGGAGTCCTGGTATGGTACTGCGGGTTAATGCGTGGGACTGCATAATTGGTTTGAACCGCAAGGTTGGTGGCTCAAGCTCACCAGCCACATGGGTCCGAACTAACATGTCAGCACTTAAAAACAACGAGTGAGAACAGGACTCCGTGGCAGTGGGTTTGGGCTTTTTGTTTTTCACTGAATCGGTTAGCAGCCTAGCATTTTAACTGTGGTGCTACCAGGGCTGTTTCAGTTGATTATAGAGCAGCGTATTCAAATTTGTTGTTGTTGTTAAGTGCTGTCAAGAGGTTCCAACCCATAGCGACCCTGTATAGGGCTTCTGAGGAGCAATTGGTGGGCTTGAACCACTGACCTTAAGGTTCAAGGTGTTTCTCTGGGTCACTTTTCAGATGGGTTGGAGAGTCCTAAAAGATGCTGATTCCTGCCCTCCGCCCTTCGTAAAGCCTAGGGTGGATGCTCTGTATCTGTTTCATGCTGAGTCAACAATGGAAGAAGCTTACCTAGGGTGGAATCCTCCCTTTCAACTCTGATGGTTTGCATTGGCTGCTGAAGCCTCTAATCTGGCAGCTAAATGCCGCCTGCTGCGTAGCCTGACCCAAGCCAACGTATTTTCAATGGCTTCATATGCATGGGAAAGCTGAACAATGGATAAGGATGACAGAAGAATGGATGCATTTGAGCTACAGTGTTGAGCAAGAATATTGACTATATCATTTGCTGCCAGAACGAACAAATTTGTTTTGGAAGAAGTACAGCCAGAATGCTCTTTAGAAGCAAGGACTAGTCTCACTACTTTGTTACCAGTTCCTGGAGAAAAACATCATCGTGATTGGTAAACTAGAGGGTCAAAGGAAAAAGAGACAGAGGCTCCACGAGATGGACTGACATAGTGTCTACAACAATGTACTCAAACATACCTACTATTGTGAGGAAGGCGCTGGACCAGGCAGTGTTTTGTTCTGTTGTACACAGGATCGCGTTATGAGTCGAGTCAACTCGATGGCACCTAACAGCCACAACACTTAGCCCCACCCCTTCCATCCCTCACAAGATTCCTTATTCTGGGTTTTTAAGAGGACGTTGGGTCTTCTGAAGACGGCCAGAGTGGCGAGAGCAGTTGCAATTGTTTGTGGGGGATGAGCACAGTCAGCGCACGCACGGAACAAAAGCATCGAGGAGCCGCGAGTCCATCTCATCCTGCAATCAAGGATATCAGTTGAACGAAAACCGAAGAAGGTGTAAACGTACACGTATAGGCAGCAAACGCCTTGTTTCCTACGTTGCTACTGTTACTCCTCCAACATCCATCTCTCCATCCAGGTCCAGAGGGCCCTCCTGTGTGCCAGGTCCTGACCTGGGCACTAGATCTACCGTCCAAGAGGGTCTGGTGCGACTGGCGGAGGATTTCACTGTGCAAAGGGCTGGACAGTCTAAACCTAGAATTACAGGATAGAGACGCTGCCGAAATCGACTCGGGTGGTTCTGGAGCGGGTGTCCCTGAGGCCGAGTAGGGTCCCTCTGTCTGGCGCTCAGGTGGTTCCCCCGCCCACTCCGCCGCTCCCCCCACCCCCCTCCACAGGCCCTGCCCCCTCCAACGAGGGTCGAGTTTGGCTGTGGCGCGCGGGGAAGGAGGGGCTACGAGGGATTTGAAAGTGCACAGGCTGCGGAGTGGAGCTCGCATCTGTTCCCGCCGCCCGCGACCAGATTAAATTTCTGCAAATTCAAACTGAATGGGGCTTTCTTCTTCTGCCTTCCAGAGGGCGCCTGCAGTCCGCCGCACGCTCCTTTCGCGCGGGAGCGGCCGCGGGGCGCACAGCTAGGAGCTAGCGAGCCGGCCTCGAGCCGGAGCTGCCAGACGGCGGCGGCGAGGGCGGCGGCTCCGAGGCGCTGGGGCCGGGGACCGAAGCATTGGACCGCGCCCCGCCACCACTGCCGAGCCAGCGCCGCTCCCCACGACCGAAGCAGGCGACTGGTATTGCCTCGCCTGGACAGGACCCGGGGCAAGAATCCGGTGCTCTGAAAGGGGCCCGGTCGACCCTGTGAAGAAGAACTTCTGGGGAGCGGGTCCCCCAGTGTCCCTGCCGCCCGACTCGCCCGGCTCCGGGGCGGCCGCTATTGTCTGCGCTGCACTCGGCGGCGCGGGGGGCTCTCTCGGCGGCGACCCGGGAGCGGGGACTCCGACCGGGCGGGGCCGGAGCGGGCGGCGGCGGGAGGAGCTCGGAGCCGGAGGAGGAGCCGCGAGCGCGGGAGCCGA